TGCTCCTGCTCCTGCTCCTGCTCCTGCTCCTGCTCCTGCTCCTGCTCCTGCCGCAGTGCTCCTGCTCCTCCTGCTCCTGCTCTTCTTTGTTTTCCTCTTTTTCTTCCACTGCTTTCTCTGCTTCCTTCTCCTCTTCTTTCCCTTCTTCCTGCTCTTCCCATCCTTGCGGGCTCAATCCTTCACTACCTTCCTTGCCAAATCGTTCTCTTCCTCGTCATTTGGTTGTCGTCCTCATAACTTGATCTGACTTGACCTGATCAGTTACAATTTCGACGATTTTGTTGCACAAAGCAGAGCGATCAAGCAGATGGGAAGTTTCGGTAGATTTGAGTCTCCTGTTTTCCTCTCGTCTCGTCTCGTCTCGTCTCATCTCCTTCTCCTCCTCTCCTTTCCTCTCGTCTCGTCTCGTCTCGTCTCCTTTCCTCTCGTCTCCTTTCCTCTCCTTTTCTCTCCTCTCCTCTCCTCTCCTCTCGTCTGCTCTCCTTCTCCTCCCCTCGTCTCGTCTCGTCTCGTCTCGTCTCCTCTCCTCTCGTCTCCTCTCCTTCTTCTTCCCTCCTCTCCTCTCTCCTCGTGCCTCTTCCTTGCTTTGCCCCTTTTCACCTGTTAATTTAACGTGCAGGCGGGATGCTCAAAATGCTTCCTGGCGCTTCCGGCATCTCATCGGATCAGCTGGCGCAGGTTGGGGGAGGTGGAGGGAGAAAGTGCGCAGAGAGAAGCAGGAAGAGCAATTGTGGGAGTAAGACTTGGGGCGGGAGGCAGGGAAAGAGGAGGAGAAACAGGATGATGACGAAGGAAGATAGAGGAGGAGAAACGAGGAGAAAGGGGGAGGAGAAGTAATGGTTGTCATTGCAGGCAGAGCTAAGGTTGAAGATTGCAGAGTCAATGATCAACTCGATGACCAAGAAAGAACGCAAGGTGCTCCCTCCCTCCCTCGCTCCATTCGTGAGTGACGCCCTCCCCCCTCCCCCCCTTCTACTCTCTTACTCTTGTTCAGAACCCTTCGCTGCTCACAAGCGATATCACCGCCAAGTCACGTCTTGAGTTAGTCTTACGCTCTCTTCCTCTCTCTTCTCACTGCATTTCAGTCGCATCGCCAAGGGGTCGGGCAGGAGCATGAAGCAGGCGCAGGAGTTCATGTCTGATTTCACAAGGATGCGCATGATGATGCGAAATATGGGAAAGGTCAGCAAACACCGCTACCACCATCACCAGCATCACCAGCACCTCCTCTTCTGCCCTCTCCTCCTCCTCTGTTTTTCCTTCTTTTTCACGCTCACTCCCTTCCCCACCC